CCCTAAAATTAGTTGAACTTTTCTCCTTGCTGCTTAATTGACCCTATATCATCTATATGCTAGCAAGCAATGGCATGACTCCCATTACGCAAACTTCTCACAAAAGACAACTTCCACAAGAGGACTGTGCTGATGGGGAGATTATATCTGGATAAAATTCCCATGGAGGCCTCCCAGAGAAGAAGGTGCAAAGTGGACTATTTCACTTTGGTGGGTTGACTGTGTAATTCTGCAAGCTGCTGTGCTGGGCTCCCCAGAGGATGGAAATCTTACTGTTCTTCCTCAAGGAGTCTGATTTTTCAGTGGGTCCCTTCTCTCCTGACCTGCCAGATGGATTCCTATCATCCTTTTCCCTTTCGACTTGTTGGTGAATGTGGGATGTATGTGTAGGTGTTTCTCCCTGGTTGTTTTCCACCTCAAGACCTACTACCAGAGAATTTGGAAAAACACACAAAAAATTGCAGGAAAAAAACCCAAATCAATTATAATCCCATCACCCAGAGGAAAGCTCTGTTAATATTCTGGTGTTTATTCTAATAGTCTTTTTTCCTACATGATGTAAATTCAGATCATACTTTACACTTTCATATATTCAGCTTTTTTCACTTAACACTATATTATGAAACCTTTTCTTTATCATTAATAGTCTTCGTAAGCATAGTTGCTCAATATAGATGTCCTATAATTTACATTTCCCTCATGTTAGATATTTAAGTTGTTTCCAAATTTTAATTAGACAGAATGTGGCAAATATTGACGTGTATGTATACATATTTTGTGAATCTCTCTCAGTAGTAAGAAAAAAATGTAAAAAGGTGAAAGGGTACTACAGTGTTTGATATATTGTCAAACTATTTTCTAGAAATAATTGTAATACTTTATACTCCCCTATATAGGAAATGTGTCTCACCTGGGATTTTTAAAACTGGGTATTACCTTAAAACATTTATGCTAATTTTGCTAGAAAAAATAGTACATCGTTATAGTTTTACTTTGCATTCTTAAAGTATTAATGAGGCTTAATTTTTTTATGTTAATGGAGGATTTCTTTTTTTTGCCTAAATAACATACCCTTGTAAGTTATTAAATTGAGGGTGGTGCTTCTTTGCTTCTTGTACATTTTTTGAATGGTTTTATGAACCATTTGGGGTTCTTTGATGAAGTCTCGCGAGAGCAAGGGATGTGTGTGCTCATACGAAAGTGCCGTTCAGAGCATCCCCGGTCTCCCTGCTCACTCTTTTAAGCTCTTGGTGCTTTCAGGTTCTCTCTTCATTTCCTTATTACCCTCTGATCTCCAATGCCACCCGTGACTGTCTGCTACATCTTAGTGGGAATCTGAATCATTCATTACTTCATCTCTACTTATACAATTAAAGGTCGCAGTTTTTGTCAAAGGTATTTCAAGTATAAATCAAACAGGAAATCCTGGGAGACTTCTAGGAGTGGAGAACCTCAGACGCCACCCTGCCAGCTTTCTCTGTCTGTATCTAAGAGCAGATCTAGAGCCCCAGTGCTGTTACCATGACAAACGGGCTAAATTCAAGGACTGACGACAACTCCAATCTGCCCTGGAGTTAAAACTAATAGTAACAGAACGTGAACGTGGCATAATAAGGTATAACTGGAACAGGTAGTTTTAAAAGGACAATTGCAAGACAAGTCAAAATTCACTGTAAACAAAAAATTCCAAAGTTGTTGACACAGTGTTCATACTTTTTTTGCTCGCGACTTGTCTTAAAATTCAAACTCAAACTTTTTTGTTAGTTATCTTTTAAATTACAATTTCTCAATTAGATATTTAGAAACATAAGACAGGTATTTCTAAAAACAGGTGAAAATTTTTAAATTTGATTTAAAAAGTGAATAAATAATACATTACCTTTGAAACTAGTAGTGAAATGATTTCTTTTACAGTGTTGTCGATCAGATCATCTATTTTTGAATGGTACTGTTGCTGGACATTAAAAGACAAAGATGCATTAATTGACAGGGACACAAAACTTTTGTCATAAGTCAGAAATGCTCTAAAGCTACTAGTTATGACCTATCCGATTTACTTAAAATGATCATTTTGAACATTAAAAGAACAAAACCTTGAAAACGATCCGCCCAATCAACACTTTTTACATTGTGGTTTGAAAATTTTCCCATGTGCACTGTTGAGTTAAGCAGCTAATGGGGTTATTATTTAGATGAATTGAGTTCTTATTCTTATTCAGGCAGAGGAATGTGAAGGATACTTTTTGTCTTCTCCTCTATAATTAAGGTGGCCGTGTATTTTTCTAAAGGGTTGGTTTAGCTGGAGAAGCAAAAAGACTAGAAAAAGATTTAATTAATACTGCATTTCATGTCTGACAACTCTCATTCATAAGTTATTTTAAATGTGCTCTAGAAATAAAATGAGCTCCCAATTGTTCACTCTAAAAGGACCTTTTTGTCAGCACCCGGAGCAGCAGTTTATACAATTCTTACAATATGCTCGAGCAAGGGCAAAATTAAAATTTCATCAACAAAGGTGAATAGATGGTAACAAATTAATAGGCCATAAAAGGTATAATGAAACGGCACTCACTCCCCATAGTTTTATTACCGCTTCCTCATGAAAAAGACGCCTTTAAGTAAATACAAAAAAGATGTATTTAAAATAAACCTGAAAGACTTTATTTTTTGCTTTCTTTAGAGAATACTAGAGGGTTCCATTCTTAAATAAGCAGAGCCTGGGCTTCCAAGGCTTGTGAAGGCACATCCATTTAGACAGTAATTCTTCCTTTAGAAGCATTTATCTGACAGCAGATTGTCCCCAATAGCCACTTCAGAGAAAATGTGACTTGTAAAGACTAACCCTATCTTGATAGTTCAAGGCTTCTTGGAACAGCTAACAAAATGCAAAGAGTAAAAGTACTCAGGTCAGTATAAACATTAGACCAACTTAGCTGCTGGTTGAATGGTTTCCTAAGATGCAAGTTTTTGAAAGCTATTTTTTTTTTTTTCTGAAAACATGTCTCAAAGTTTCCACACAGAACAAAACATCAACTTAGGTCTGCTTTGGAATACTCAGGAATGACACTGCTCCCCTCCCCAAGGGCTTTGACAGTTAGTGTTCATCATCTAACTGTATAAATAATAAAGAAACCATAATTCTTTGGAGTGTCTGAATTATTTTCTTTTCCTGTGAGTGTGTATGTGAGTGTGAGTGCATAATGACAAGTGGTCTAAAATTAACCACATGCATACAAACATGGAACTTTCCAGGTACATATTGCACTCGCCAAAGCTTGTCTGTCTCACTTAAAGCTTTACTGATTCCCAAATTTGTGCTTCCCAGAGGACAAATGGAATGGAAGCACAGAGGGTGGATTTGTACCTCAGTAGTGCCGATGCTTTTACTTTTGGAATAGCTTGAAGAGAAGGAAAAGGGGAGAGAATAAAGAAAAACAAGGCAGAAGAAAAAGAACTCGGAAAAGCTGGCTGGTTCTGACCCAGTCTAAATTATCAATAATTTTCTGAGCCAGGCAGCCCCTCACGTGAACGTATGTGGGGCCCCTGAACAATTCCAGCACACTGGCTGGTCAGGAGGGTAATCCCTCCACAGACACATTGACAAAAAAGGCCTCCCAGCTCGGGCTGCAAGCTGTACAGCTGACGGGGAGTGGAGGAGCTTATGCAAATGGGCTCTCCCTGGCTCCCAGGCTTGACACTCTCCTTTCACATCCTTCTCACTCCAGACCTGTGTCTGCACAGCAAGAGGAAATTAAATGCCAGCCTGAGGCTCCTCTTTGGGGTAAAACAGCAAAGTGACCCAGAAGATGGGCTTCAAGCTTCTCATTTCCCTTTTACATGGAAAGCTCTAAAGCATACAGGGGTTGAGGCACCCAGACCTCCAAACGGGTTCTTAAATGTGTCTTATCCTCAATGTTTACCTCTGTCATAAATTCCATTTTTAACTCAAAGTAATCAAATGTCATCAGAAAGCTCCTGGATGTAAAATAATAGAGCTTCTATATATTAAACTTTTGGGTTGGATTGATTCTGGCAATTCTTTTTTTTTCTTTTTTTGAGACAGGGCTTGACTCTGTCACCCTGTCTAGAGTGTAGTGGCGTCATCATAGCTCACTGCAACCTCAAACTCCTGGGCTCTAGTGATCCTCCTGCCTCAGCCTCCTCAGTAGCTGGGACTACAGGTCCATGCTACCATGTCCAGCTAACTTTTTCTATCATTTTGTAGAGGCAGGATCTCACTCTTGCTCAGTCTGTTCTTGAACTCCTGACCTCAAGTGATCCTCCTGCCTTGGCCTCCCAAAGTGCTAGGATTATAGGCGTGAGCCACTGTGCCCAGCCATTCTGGCAATTCTTAAAATCAAGTGATACTCCACTAAAGAGGTTGTTTGTACCCATTTTATTAAAAAGGAGGGAAGTCAATGAACCCTAAGAGCCATGAAATTCTCCTATAATACATACCTTTAGATTGTTGCTTTCTTTGATACCTGATCTAGCCATAAACAGAGAGGAAGAGAAATGGAGGGGGAGGAGGAGGGAGGGAGAGAGAATAAGAATGAGTAAACACACACACACACACACACACACACACACACACACACACACACACAGTCAAAAAGAAAGGAAAGAAGAAATATATATCTTAAATGTATTACCTAGGGGACAAATCCAGATCGTATGAGGTTTGTTAGGATTTTATAATATGGGATTCTGCTATTATAAATTTACCCAATTAGATCTGACTTATACCCATTTTAAAACTGCTGGGAACTTTCAGAATCTGCACTGGCTGCACAGTTGATATAGGTGGTCTAGAAACATTAGTGGGAGTGGGGAGGTGGCCTGATAATTCCTATTTTACATAGACATTCTGCAAAGATAACAACCTACATAGAGGTAATAGAAAGTTAGCTAGAAAAAGTTAGTCATCAGGGGACCTGGATAGTTTTCAAAGACAAACACAAATACCCCAAAAAGAGATCACAAACAGTTAAAACATAATTTATCTGCATAGACATTTATATTATTTAAGCTAAAATGGATATTTGTTTTTTTCCATTTAGAATAACAGACAATATTTTTGATAAAAATTTGGAAGACTTTTGTTTCCAACAATAAAAGTCTGTAAAATTCTTAATCATAATATTTCAAGTTGGGGTGATAACCTTACATAGTAGGGCTCTGGTAAATTCCAGCTCATTCTTAAGGTAAGTTTCCCCACATCTGTGATCAAAAGTAAACCATTCTCTGCTTTTCCAGCAGATGACTCTGAACTTACATTAAAGAGAACCATTCAGGAATCCTTACCTCATGGTGCTCAGGGAAAACAGAGACAGACACAGTCTGAAATCCTGGCTTCCCTACACTCAGGTGAATAGCGTCATTTCACCTGACTGTTCTCATGCAAACATACAAGAAATGAACACTAATCAAATGCCGTGCAATCCAGCTTTCTTAAAAGGTTTTGAACGTTTTCTTAGGATGAATTTTAAAGGTACTGGATTGTTAGTTCTAGAAATGGAAGCATTTTACTTTAACTGAGAACAAATCCTGCACAAAAGGGGACCCTGCTTCCCTGAGTTGCCCCATTAATGTGTTTTCATCCTCATCCTCAATTGAAGGGACCGTAGGATGAAGTGGTTATGAGGGCAGATGAGTGCTTACAGCCCATGTAGTCATCTGCTTTTGTGCAGTTATGGATAACGAGGATTCTAAACACTGTGGTGGTTTTGTGATCTCAACATCTGTCCCTAAGGGACTGGCCTGAGATTGCTGACTCATTACACACAGCTGTCACATGAGCGGATCATTCACTCACTAATCACTGCATTAAACCCTATTCTGGGCCTCAGCAGAGCATGTTTGCATCATCGTGAGGCATGTACGAAAACAGAATCATAATTTGGAGGCATAGAAAGGACTGCATTGTGGGTAAGGAGTTGGGAAAGATCCATCCCTGTGATGACAACAAGAAAAATACAGTAGAGGTTTTGGAGAAGTAATATAATTCCTTATAATTTAGGGAAAGAAAATCTCTGCTATGTTTAACTGTGTAGTGTGTGTGTGTATATATGTATATATAAAACAATTTTTTAAATTTCTGAATATTACAGGGGGTACAAATGTTATAGTTATATGAATTGCTTTTGTACAGTTTGAGTCAAAGTTATAAGTGTGTCCATCACCCAGATAGTGTACGTTGTATCTGTTAGGTGTGAATTTTCCCATCCCCTCCTCCGCACACCTGCTTGATTTCTGTTGAGTTTTACTACGGTAGGTGTACATCAGTGTTGATTGATTAGCTCCAATTTAATAGTGAATACATGTAGTGTTTGTAACAACCTGTAGTATATATTTTTACATGCTTCCAAATTGTCTAATAATCTAGTTTTTTTCAATGACTTTATTTGCTGCTTTCTATAAAATAGGGTCCACTGGCTCACCTGTGCGTGAAATGTATGCACTAATTTGCAATGATTCTTAACTTCTCTTAGCACATACAGAGAAGGAAAGCCGGTGCAATTATGTGGTACATTTACTGGAGAGAAAAAGCGAAGTAGGAAATCCTTCTTTTGCATTGAGATTCTTGTTTACCACTTTTCAGGGTTGCTAATGGGTTTTACACCTGCACATTTTGAACTATTATTAATTGTGTGAAAGTTGTGGGGAGCTAATTGTCACTGGCGAGAAGGTACAGGTGCAGACATAATGAACAGTAGCAGATTACTCTTCAAAACCATCCACCTATTAATGTAAAGAATCATTTGACAATGCAACAATGTTTGTCATTTTGTCATGTGTGCGTGTGCCTGTTTTTCTTTTTTAAGTACTAGAGTAAGTTGTTTCTTACAGAGGAGGATTTTTAAAGCAGCAACAACAAATCAGTCTGTTCATTTACTCAGCCGATATTTACTCAATGCCTATTATGTGTTGGGTACTGCAGCACATGTCAAAATAAGAACAAATAGATAAACCCAGTATTAATGGGAAGAGAGGCAAGATGATTCTATAAACCAGATGAGAAAAGAATGGATTTATGAAGAGACTTAGGATAATATTCTCAGGCAGACAATCAAAGGCTTACATCTGGGTGTTAAAAAACATGAGGAGATAGACAGGAGCCATTGGTTTCCAAGCCAGCTGCCCACTCATTAGATAATTAGAGATAATAAATCATGTTGTAAGTGATCAGAAAATGATAATTACCGAACATAATATAACACTTACATAACAGTTACTTAACATATTTGTACGTTTGTATGCTGTGATATTAGAAATACACGTTTTCCTCCTAAAATGCTCAAAGAATGAAATGTGTATACCTACATAAATATAAATTATGGCCAAATAGCTAATGTCTATATATGGGTTAGACAGGTATGACATTCACAAGTAGTGTGCCTTCTCAGCTATTTCACAGTTAGCTAAGCCCTTCTGCTTAGACGAGAATTGTTCATATGAGTCATGCTGAGTCTGACTCCCATTTGTCAACTGTAAGACTTGTAAAGATTTCACCTATCCATACAACACAAAAATATTTTGATTTACAAAAAGAAAAGTATGATCTTGTCAGTCCTGTATGATAAAAGTTTTCAAACCATGTACCTTAGAGATTCTGGGGTGGTACTTCAGGACAACTTTTTGTAGGGGAGGGTGAAAGTCTCATGACACAGGCCTGCCTCTTCCCCACCTCTGATGTTGGTTACATCCCAGGCCATGCGTGGGAGGAAAGACTGTATCACGGGTGGGCTCGGACCTCACCGAAGTCCACTACTGGATTCATCTGTATGAGGTGACCTTGGGTGTGGCCTCCTGGTCCAAGGATTTAGGGGTTATCCTATATGTCGTCTAAAGCCTCGAACTCTAAACTCTGGTATTAATGGAAGTATACTATAGACATATGCTTGAAAATGTTAATCATTCTGCTTCTAGGAAGGTGAATACATTTGGTTTTAAATAATTTTACCTTTAAAAATTGAAGAGTAGTTTGTAGATTCTGCTGCCTAACACAGAAGAAACATTATCCTTGATATTATTTAAGGTATTTAGTATTTACAATGTTTTAATGAGTCTCTTGGCTATTGCCATGTTACAGTAAGCTGTTAGCCTTATATGTACACACACAGAAGACAAAAATCTGAAAATGGAGTTAATTATATTAGTTTAATTTGAAAAGATGAAGATAAAAAATAAACATTTACAAAAATAATAACTTAAATGAAAAATGTGCTTTTACAAAAAAAAAAAAATGAGACTTACCCACTGACTACCAAACTGGATCATGCCATGGGTTGGGAAAAAAGATGATGAAAGTGAACATAAGGGAAGAACAAAGAAATGATGAAAAAGTAATTACAATGGAAAAAAGGCAACAAAATGACAACTTAAACAGATAATCTAAGAAAAGTAAATCTGTTTTCACTCAATCATCACTATCAACAAAAATACATCATGGAATAAAGTGAAACTGTATTTCTGAAAATATAACCAAACAAAATTATAAATCAAAATGAAAGAGTGGGTTACTTATTTGACAAAAACTAGGGCTAGATTTTAAGTATGTTTCTACTTGATCTTTAAAAAATGGAAACTTTTATATAAAGTATTTCATATGCTATTTTTTTGTGGCTTGCTTTTATGGATGCAAACTCTGGATACTCTAGATTTGTATAAACAAAGCAGGTACCTTTCTAGCTTTCTCATTTGCTTGTAAAAAGCAAGGTTTATGTAAATACGCAACACCTAAGCTGTTAAAAGGTATATCTAAAAGTCAATGGCCATTGTAAAATTTTAGGCAGTATTTATATAAAATAGGAGAAACTGACAAGAACAGATGATAAAGGGCATTCTATTATTACAATAAGAAAAGATCAAACATTTGGTGTTAGAGATCTTGGTCTTTTTTAATCCAATGAAGGGAGTGCCTTCTGGAAACAGCATTTCCCCTTGCCAGGGCGCCCTGTGCTGCATTTCCCTATGTGGCACACGCTGTACTTACCTCTTGTCCTCCATCCAGGGCGCAGAGTTTAGTGCTTTGCTTTTTGGCATCGACTAATACATTAAACATTGTGCACACGGAAGCCGGAATGCGCAAGTCAGTTGTTTTGCTTGCCTTTTGCAGCTTGAGTTCAAATGCAGTTCTTGTTCTAGTTATTAAAACATGAATTCAGAGTTAGAAATTCTGACAACCATCTCACCTGCTTTGTAAAAATGAAATCAACACTACAAGAAGCTAATTTAAAACATGCAAATAGGGAGTAAGCAGTGTGACAGTGCTTGGGAGCCAGAGGGTGGGATGCTCTTCTTTTCAGGAATCTCAAATAAAAGATCAGACTGTGGTATTTTACAGGAAACCTAGCTTTATGCAGTCACTCAGACAGTATCGCTCTCCAGATGAAGCTTTTTGTTATATCTAGTGTAGCACATTTAATGGAAACATCTCACAGCTTCACTTAACTGCCTGAATTAATTTCCAAGTAAAAAAAAAATCACACGCTTCTCTGAATTAAAGCAGAATGAATCCTCTATGTGAGGGCTTACCCAAATTAAAGAGAAAAGCACAAGTCTGGAAAACTCTAAAAAATTACAGTCAATGAAAAACAGAGAATGTGTAATCCTTTTATGTCACTTACATTCTCTTTCAAATACCACTAACTGCGGATAGGTTTTTGAAAGAAACTGCATAACGGCCAATTTGGAATTGGTTTTGCTAAAGTATCTGACAAATATCCACAGACTTGATACATTAGATTACAGAAGATTTTTTAAAAATCATTACGTAATCTAATTAACAGCCTTAGGGGCTACTGAACATTATTCTAAAGACAGAATTTTTCTTGGTTTAAAAAATCCGGGGATATTCAATTGCTCCCACCAGTGTTTGATTACTTTTCCAAAATCATGCCTGACTGACATTATTCTTGTATATATTATGAGCTTGGGCAATAGAAAAAATGCATGACCAATTAGGAGGCAATGCTGATTTTGTAAAACTATTAAAAATAATGAAAGCACAGTTGGAAGAATCTAAAACCTCACAAGTTATTTCTGGGTAAGTTCTAAAGAATGTCAGTAGTACTTGGAACTCATCTGACGTGGACAGAAAATAGCAGAAAATAGCGCAGAATCCCAGAACTGATGGTGCTAATCATATTTTGACACAGCACACAGACATAACGCATAAAGAACTTAACAGACCTTTTCCATATGTCTCAGGAAATATTACCTTGGGAATTTAAAGCACAGTATTCCCAGAGAGATAACAATAAGCACAAAAGCAATCATTAATATCATATGGGTGCTACTGATTAGGGCAATGGTTGGGAAACCTGAAAAAAAATATCAGGCCAATTTCATCAATTATATGGGTGCCCAGATTTTAGGCCACAGATCCTAATTAATGCCCATTAAATTTTGGAATAATAGTGCATATTGAAAGCTTTCCTGTGACAATCAACATAACAGGTACATGGTGAAAAATAGTATATCAGGTGCTGGCATACTAAGCAGCAACTCGAAAACACATGTCTACCTTTTGACACAGGCCTCTATCATATCACTGGCCATTAGTTTAAGTCTTTGCTCTAAGTGGTGGGCAAATTCTTGTTCTGGCCAGTGTAGATCAAAGACAAACATTTGCAGTGCATCAAGTTTCCAAAAAAGGTCTTCTGATGTTGCTGAGCCATTGCTAGAAGAAAAAGGAAAAATGAAGAACATCATGAACTCCCACTGTTAACTCTGTGGACTGCCAACAGTGTTTCTTCCTTTCTGTATCAATTGCCATCAGTGAAAAAAATACCGCCTAAAATCTGTAATGATCCAATCTTTGCTCAGCCTTCTAATTCTTCCTTTTCACTTCTTAATAAGGCAAGGTGAGGTGAACACCATAGAAATAAATACAGTAGTGAGGTTTCATAAAAAGGGATAAAATGGATAAGGATATTCTAAGGAAATAAACTGTGTACATAAGAACAAACATTTTAAATGTTCTTTATCAATCGCTAGGATAAAGATAAATACACATATATTTTCTCTTAGAAATTCTGAGAAGTATGTTTTATGTAAGAAAATCCATGTGACAGCACTTTTTTATTCATGCTTATGTGCCTGTCACCATGACGGCTCTGTCTATCTACAGATGTGTGGCATATAGAGCCCCTAAATCTCTCAATTACAGGCAAAGGTAATACAGGTACTGAAAATAAAACAGGCTAGGTATAGAAGCAAATCTTTATTTTTATTTTGAAATGCTTTGTGCCTTTTCTAGCTCATAATTAAAACTGAACTTAGTACAAGGTATGGTCTAGCAGAAAAATGACATTCAGAGTGCTCTGAAGTTGGAACAAAATCATGTATTTCAGGTCCTTATACCTCACTGTGGAACCAAGATTTGCTATGCATTCACTATGATGGTGAAATTACTCTAGGTGGCTGTTCTGTCATCTCATGTATGAAGGTAATTTACAGAAGAGTACACATAATATTTGAGCAAAAGATAATGCTATTACTTTTCCATTATATGGAGGCAGATGTTTTGAAAGTAAAATATTCCTACATTAAAACATATTGAAACTTAACTGCAAAAGAGCACAAAAGAAAAAGCAAACAAAAAAACCCCAGCACCCTATGATTCCTTTGTCTTCAGCTTTCCAACAATTGCTTCACATATATGAACCTAAAATTTACACTTTTAGTTTGCAAAAGAAAATTAAAGAAATAAACTCCTTTATCATAAGAGCATAATGGAGAAGTTTTATCAAAAATAAACTAGTTTTAAACAACTACATTTTTTGGCTACATATATCTTAATTAGCTAGCTTTTAAAAAAATCACCTCTTGCTCTGGCTAATTAAAAGCTTATTTCCTCCCCTCACTCTGGCCTCAGCATCTCAGCTCTATCACCAACCTACACTGCTTTCCTCCTTCCATTCTGCCAATAATTCCTCCTGATCTCCTTGTCTAGCCAAGATGCCCTCAGAGTTAAGTTCTCAAGGGACCAGTCACAGCAAAGCAGTGAACACTTTCCATTTATTTACTCACTTACTATCTCCTCACCTTAATATTCAGTGCCCTTAAATGTATTAAATATAATGCATTAAATAAAAGAACCAGACAACAGCATGCTGACACTATTGTGAAGATGTTTGAAAAACACTTCCTTTACTTCTCCTTTTGCTGCATGTATAATAAAAATGAAAGAAAAAAATGACCAAGCAAAATCTCCTTATAAATGCACAGTGTACAGTTTGGTAGATTAGAGGACCTGTGTTTTAAGAGTAATTGAATACAATTGGCAAAGAAGCAAATCTGCTTCTGATGATCTTTGTACTTTGGAGAAATATAACTATTTGAAATGTATGCATTCTTTAACAACGCAGTGACAATAAAACTGTCAAAACAAAGTTTCAAATAGTAAAGGCAGAATTCTATTAAAAGTTGACTTTCTCATACTATGTGGCAATTAAATCTTTATAGAGAATATATACTTTTCTTTTGCTTGATGCTATGGTAAGATTCTATGCTAAGATGTTAGACAATAAATGTGTTAAATTGGGAATGCAATTAAGATAACAAGTGTTTGTTATAATTAACTAGATAGATTAAAAAATGTAAATAGGCTTTTTCTGGAGTTGGTGTATATAACCTACAATTTATTCAGAGCTTTTTCATTTTAAAATATTTCTAATCAGTGACCTATTCCTAAAGGTATTATTAACAGATTAAAAAATTCTAGTGTGAATAACAGACTCTAAATAATTTCCTTAAAATGCCAGCACGAAACTTACCATAATGGCATTCATTTCTAGAGTTAAAAAACCCAGAATAAAGATTTTATATACAGATTTTATATACACCTCTTAACCTGAATTATATGTTAGTAGGTAGGGATGTGTCTTCAAAGCCATGATTACTTTCATATTCTTCTCACATACTCAGTAGTTCTATTTTCAATCTTTAGGTTAAATAGAAATGTTTCTAATGCTTCACTCTTCAAAAAACAAACTGTAATAACATCATAACATTACAAGCCCTCTGACAAAGAACCTAATGTTGATAACCTTGGCAGGTAAAGCTAATAATGACCAATTTGTAAGACACATTTTTTAATTTGCCCAGAATGGTGAAATTACAATCATTATTTACAAAACCCCAATTTGTCATGATTCCTCTCCTGAGACTCAGATGATTTTAAAAAGGGGTCCTTGTCTGGGTGTGGTGACTCATGCCTGGAATCTCAGCACTTTGGGAAGCTGAGGTGGGAAGACTGCTTTAGGCCAGGAGGTCAATACCAGCCTGAGCAACATGGCAAGACCCCGCCTCTACGCAAAATTAAAAAATTAGCTGGGCATGGTGGCACACACCTGTAGTGCCACCTACTTGGGGGCTGAGGCAGGAGGATCGCTTGAGCCCATGAGTTTGAGGTTGCAGTGAGCTGTGACAACACCACTGCACTTTAGCCAGGACAACACAGTGAGACTCTGTCTCAAAAAAAAAAAAAAAAAAAAAGACAAAAAAAAATAAAGGATCCTCAATAATAAAGGATTGAGGGTTCATACAAATCTCAAAGCTAATAAAATAGTAATAATAAGAAAACTAAATTTTAAGGATAATGTTCGTATTAGTGTTCTTGGTTAAAATCAAGGCTGTTAAATAGATGAGAAATGAGGAAGAAGAGAAGTTAAATTATAAAACGATATAAAGAAGTACAAAAAAATAATACACTTAGGTTCATTATACCTCCTAGGTAATTCCTGAGCACACACAGACATCACTCTACACACTATAATGGCCCAAAGCATTTGCCTGTAAGCAAAAGACTCACATGTAACATAGTATCCTAGTAAGTATTATGAATACAGTGATGACATTTAACTTGGAGAAATATTGCCAAATTATTTTACAAGTAACTATTCTCTTTCTTGGTCTTTTCTTTCTCTTCTTGATTGTATGCATATTTGACTGGGTATAGATTTGACAGCTGGTGCTGGGATAGGTGGAAAGTGGCAAGTCTTAACCACCATGTTCTCCGGAAGCAGAATACAAGAAAGATAGGAAGCAGGGCTTTGTAGTGAAGTAAACTTGGGTTCAAATTTTGCCTGTCACTTACTTGCTGTGAGACATTGGGTAAGTTTTGTTTTTTAACTTCTTTGTGACTTACTTTTATTAACTGTAACATGGAGATAATGACAGTTATTTCATAAGGTTGTTATAAAGATTAAACAAGATAAAGAACTTGGCATTGTACCTGGAACACAGTAAATTCTCAATAAATGGAAACTATTTTTCTTCTTCTAATTATTATGCTTTCTAGCTTACTTCACATGAGATCTTGGGCAAAGCATGTAGCTGCCTGTCTGAGTTTTCCCATTTGTAAACCAGGATTAATACTTAGTTCTAATTGTGGTGAGGCTCATAGTTTGAAAAACTATAAAGTTATGAATGATAATGATGATGACTGTTGATAGCAACAATAAAAACAATAATGATGTAGAATAGTAGTCATTATTACATAGTGAAACCTAGGATGTGCCAAGTAGTTCCATACAGGTTTTTTAATCTTCACAAAATGTCTTTAACTTAGCTGTCATACCATTTTAGAGTTGAGGAAACTGAGGCTAAGAAAGACTTACGATTAGTAAGCTAAGATCTAAATTCAGGCCTGATCAAAGTCTACAATTTTTCACTTTAATGACTTTTAGTTACTGAATCCGCCATAGGGAGGTTTGTCACAATGTAAAGTTCATAAATGTGGTTTTTAACAATGTAAAGATTATTTTAAAATAGCAAGGTGTACCAACTGATATATGAAAAGAACAAAAGAAGAATTTCCTAATGTTGGCAAATAAAGTATAATTCCTTTCCTGAAAGGTGCAAAGGTACAATCCTGTTTCTTTAAAGTTGAAGATAAAAAAAGAAAAAAGATTGTATTTTTTAAACCATTCTTCCAATGGTTTCCTACATGTGGGCAGCAATAAGGCTGGAGCCAACTAAGAATCCTTGAAATACTGTTTACTGCTCTGATTGTCTACATAAAGAGAACTCTGGTTCTATCTCTTCGTAGAGTCTACAACTTGGGTCACAAAATGAGTCCTGCCCCACAAATTACACATAAACTACATCAAACCAGTGTGTTCTTTTTAAGCTACATCATTTATCATCAATATGCTAAGCTTAGCTTACTGGCTTAAAACACTCAAACAAATCAACCAAAAGCAGTATTCCTCAACCAACATGAATAAATGCCATGCAATCTAAACACATCTGCACAGAACACAGCCCAGGCCATGCACTAGCTAACACACCACCAGGAAATAAGTGAGGAATACACACGTGGACTCATATAAAGAAGCCATCCACGAAGGAGTAGAAAAGTTAGGAATCTGTGGAAGATTAAGAGGCAGACTTGGAACTTTTGGAAGAGCTACATTGGGAAGACTGTTGGCGATATTCCTGTAAAGAAACAAACAACGTGGGAAGGGACCATCATAAGCAATAACTATAGATGGCCATGTGGAAAGTCATAAGGTCAGGACAGAAGAGGCAGATGCTCTGTGGACACTAGGTCAGATACCTACTTGACAGGTTGCCATGTCTCTTGCTCAAAACCTCTGTGAATTGACTGGGCGATGGAAGACTCCATGAGATCGACGTAGCGGACAACCAAGGGCACAAAGATTTCTTGCAAGTGTTTGTGAAATTTTCCATTACACAAAAGTGCTGAAATAGCCAAGCAGAAACAGTATTTGTCAGAGGGATAATATTAGACATTTGGAAAATACGGGTGGAAAACTATTCCTGAAAGAATCTGACACAGAAGACTGATTGGAATATGAATGATAATGGATCTTGCTCCCCATAGTCAATATCATATCATGGAAATTCATCAAAAAGCATCACTAGCCTTCTATATACGGCTGTCAAAACACAAATAGATTATATCCCTATAAAATGTTCCTGGCAGTTGGTATGTTTTTATTTTCTAAGAAGTTTAACACATAGGCACGTGACCATCGGCTAAATTCAAGGGAGTTGCCAGCTTCCCTGAAGGTCCTGGCACATGGAAATGCAGGATTAAGCAGAGAGTTACAATCTCTGTGCTATGCTGTGTACCACAGAGGAGCTAAATCTGTTTGATTCTAAGAGATAACCTTGATTACTTCTAAGAGCTACACTTGTTTAATTTACTATGAGGGTGACGGTGGCCTTGGGAATATCTACTTTGATTCTTTTTTTTTTTTGAGACAGAGTCTTGCTGTGCTGCCCAGGCTAGAGTGCAGTGTCATCATAGCTCACTGCAGCCTCAAACTTCTGGGCTCAAGTGATCCTCCTGCCTCAGCCTTCTGGGTAGTTGGGACTACAGTCACGTGTCACGACGCCCTGCTATTTTTTTTTATTTTTCGTAGAGACAGGCTATCACTCTTGCTCAGGCTGGGCTTGAATTCCTGAGTTCAAGCAATCCTTCTGCCTCGGCCTTCCAGAGTGCTAGGATTACAGGCATGAGCCACTGTGCCTGGCCTAGTCTGATTCTTGAATGTTTTAGTCGTTTGTGGATTTTCTTTTTAGTCATTCAATTTTGCAGATTCGTATTTAAAAATATTCAGCAAACCACCTGCATTTTTCAATTTTCCATTTGTCTTTAATGAATTGTAGTATAGAACATTCCACCTAGAGCAGTTAGCTGTAGAAGTTTTAGAATTCATACTACCGGGACAGACTGCTAGGCAAGGTGCACCCACCTCCTTCAGGAGATGGATGCTTTCTATGCACAGGATACAATTTCATTAAAACATACGTCAGTATGTGCCTACGTGCACCATGAAAGAAAACCAAATCCATAGGAAAATACTAAGTAATGCTAAGAAATATTCAATAAAAAATTTGTGACTCATTTTTTTTTGGATGACAGTGCTATTGATTGTAAATATTTCTCAAACATACATACATATCCTAAGCCCAGCTGTACAATTTTGTTATCAAAGTAAAAATGTGCTCATTTAAAATATTCTTTGTGGTCGGGAAAGGCATTTCTGAAGAGATGGTACTTTAGTTAAATCTAAATGACAGAAAAGCCTTCCATGGAAGATTTAAAGGAAAGGTTTCCAGGTAGAGAACAGTGCTAGCACAAAAGTTATGAGGAGGAATAAGCTGGCATCCTTCTAGAAAGATGAAAAGGCCAGGGTAACTGGAGTGAAGTAGTTTACGGTGGGGTCTAGATCCTAGGACACAGTGGGGAGTGTGAGTTTTATTGGGTGCAGTGGGAAGCTTTATTATTTTTATAAGTAGAGGAGTGACACAATATGATCTCTCTGGTTGCTGTGTGGAAAATGGAGTAGGCGGCCAGGGGTGGAAGCAGAGAGGAAGGTCAGTGCTCAGTTCTTTACTGCAATAGACAAGGTAAAGGATGAGGTGGCTTTGACTAGGGTAGCAGAAGTGGAAGATGGAGAGAGTCTCTCAGTAATCTCATTTGCTTTTATGGATCTGAATAGTTGTATACGCTTACAGTTACTAAATCTAATTACTGGCAACTCCAATAATATTGTCTTATAAAATACTATGCCAATTTCCCACATTATCTTCTTCAGGGCAAAAATATCTCAATAGCCTGAATAATGTTCTAAAACTTGGGCAAAGTATATAATGTTTACCACAGTGGCATATATTATTATGAAGATGCCCCAGATATATTACTTTATGTAATTCTGAAATTTGTCAGAGGCTAGACAACTATAGACACATGAAAAATGGCATAGAAGTAATTCTAAATACAGAAGGAAATAACAGCACTTTTTTTCCATCTCTGATATGATTTAGTATTTTTTATGATTAATCTTTTTCTAGCTTATCTATATGCTAAAAGATTCCCCATTAAAGTGGGAATGATAATCATATTTAATGATAAATGACTTATTTAGGAGACTAATGTTATCTTAATGATGTTTTCATTTGCACATTGAAAGGAGCTTTATTTATTCCTGGAGATTTAATCACAGAGCGAGAAGATACTATAGATCACGTAATTCAGTTACTTTCACCAAATGCCATCTATATAAGGATACTAAACTTTAAGGATAAAATATTCTCACTCGAACCATCTAAATCATTGTGGTAGGTAAATTTAAAAATATACTGAAATCTGAATTTATTGGATCTCTATTTAAGAACTCCTCCTCCCTAGCATTTTTGGAGTGCCAAGCACTGTGCAAAGTTCTGTTCGTTCATTCTCTCACTTAATCATCACAAAAACTCTGTAAGGTAGGAAATATATTTTTTAATTTTATCAATAAGGAAACTGAGGCACAGCTTAGGACACTCGCCTAAGATCATTCAGTCATTAGGGAGTAAAACCAGGATTTGATACCAAAGCTCCACATTAACCTCTATCATTTATAAAACCATCATCCTTCTATTTAGGTTACCATAAACTATTATCTGTCATTCTATCTATTCAATCATCCATCAAACCTAATATCAACACATAAGCATCTTTTAAGACATAGAAATATATGGTTGGTTTAGGTAACAAAAGAATCTTGCAAATGAAAAATACATTATATCATATCTTAGATGAATTATATTTTCAGAATTAGAATTTTGAAAAAACTCATATTATGAAGAAGTCAAGCAGTTGAGGCTCCTAATTTCCTGCTGTCAATCCATTTTCCCAAAATCTCAAGCAGAGGGGCTTGCTAAAATATAAAACTAATAATGCCACTCCTAAGGATTATAATCCTTCAGTGAATCATCATGAAAAACTCTAAAAGCCTTAGCATGGGATGAAAGCTTTCCAAGATCTGTCTTAAAGTTCCCTCTTGGGCTCATTTTTGTTATTTGACCTCCAAAGTTCCTGTGGTACAATCATAATGATTTACATGATTCAGTTTAAGTACTCACTTGCTGTTCAAATCCTGTCTAGAAATGCTTAATTCTGCTGTCTTCCTGCTTGGTTTTCCTTGCTTATTCTCTGCCCTGTACAGGTTTCCACTGGGGTCCTTGTTATAAAAATGGTCTTCATACTTGTCTGTCTATAAGGATGCAAGGTCCCTGAGGCAGGGACCATGTCTGTATTCTTATTTTGGGAAAAGCCCCTAGCTGAGAGCAAGTGCTTGAATGTTAGATGAATACTTAAATATAATACTAAGATTACTATAATATTATTCAAGAGATTATATTAAATGGCAACCATAGAACCTATTGAGGCCTGCATATACCCTCATAGTGTATATAAAATATATGGTATTAAATGATACTGCTATGAAAAATTCTATTTTTGATGCATATGTCCAAGATCAGACTGCTAAAATTTCTATTGGATATGAAGGTTGGTTATTTTATGTCTCTTATATTAGTGAATGTGGCAAGGGGAGGATTTTCTCTGGTCAATCATGACTCTTTTTTTTTTTTTTTTGAGACAGAGTCTGGCTCTGTTGCCCGGGCTAGAGTACCATGGTGTCAGCCTAGCTCACAGCAACCTCAAACTCCCGGGCTAAAGCGATCCTCCTGTCTCAGCCTCCTAAGTAGCTGGGGCTACAGGCATGGGCCACCACACCTGGCTAATTTTTTCTATTTTTAGTAGAGATCGGGTCTCACTCTTGCTCAGGCTGATGTTGAACTCCTGACCTCAAACAATCCTCCTGCCTCGGACTCCCAGAGTGCTAGGATTACAGGCTTTACATGCCAGGGCGATCATAACTCTTGATAGCAAATGATTTTATCCTGCAGAATGGGGAGAAAATGAAGATTATCTACATTTCTTATGAACTACAACAAATCTTGAATTCTGGCCAAAAGTTTGCTCAGATTTCAGCTGAGAGGTCCTTTTTATTTTTTAAACATCAATTTGTAAATCCACATTTGAAAGTTTTAGAAAATTGGCAGTATTATTTCTTTGGTAATTAGGAGACAGGGGGAAGAGATAGAGGGAGATGAAATGATGAAGGGGAGAGAGAAAGGGGGTGCAGGAGGGAGAGGAAAAGGAGGAATAATGGTAAAATACACATGGGGGAAAGAAAGAAAAGAGAATATTGGGTTTCAAAAGGCGAGGCTACAGAAATGCACTATACACTATACTTGTCTATGTAAATGTATGCTCCTTTTCTTAGTTGCCCATATGCCAGCTCGCATTCCACTCCTATCAGACACTGTCAAAAGCCCCTCTTAATATATAGCCTGAGGCACTAGAATGAGTGTGTCTATCTTCTCCATATGGTTTCATAAGGATAGGTTATAATCTGGGGCTGTCACCTGTCCAAATCCAGCCTTTACAAGGCACTCATTGCCGCAGTTCTTTGGAAGAGCAGGTTCTTAAGGTGGCCTCATCTAAGAACACTTCTGACACTAAAAGGATTGTTCAGGACTCTCAAAAAGTGATCACATCATAAGTGGAAATCCAGCACCTACTCTGCTGATAAAAATAACTTTTTTCCCCCCAAAAGATTCCATATTTCCAAATACCATCTTGTCAGAAAATAATAAAGCACCAATGACATCAAGCCCTGCGACACAATTAGAAGTGGCAAAAAGCAAGAGGCTTAGATAAAAGCTACAATCAGGATGCAGATGTGCCCAATTATTTTGAAAATCCCCAATAATTAATAAATTAGTGTTGATTATTTACATACCAAAAAGAGTCTTACATTTACAAAAGTACTTGTTGTACGCTTTTAATAGAAATATTTCAACAGAGAACTTAAACTATGATCCAATTAATAACGATTACT